GCTGGCCAGATCCGTCATTTTGCCACCTCTGACTTATACCATCTACATACCTTACAGATGGTACTAAATAGTTGTCAAACAGTAGTATCCTGTGGTTAATACTGACCTGTGCCTGGGCTGGTAGGGTATCTCAGTATACTTTTCTCTGTTACATTCAATTTCATTATTTTGCTTGTGTGGCAGATGGTTATAAAGAACAGACATGAAGAATAAAGTATAAATGAAGCAGAGACTCCAAAGGACTAGCACAAGCCACCCCTATGGAATTTGCATGCTATATAAGCACATCTTCCCTCAGCCTTGATACACAGGCATCAAGCTGCACCTTCCTCTCTACAGTATAACAAAACCAAAATAGGAGGATTTCGTGTTTCCTGGATAGCTACAATGACAGTGCATCTACACAAGATGCTTTACTGTGCAGTAGAGCAATTTACTGCATAGTAAGCATCACCATCTACATGTGCAGTCTCTTATTGTGCAGTGATTTGCTCTACTCAGCAGTTAATTTGCAAATCCAAATGCAAATAGTAAATTAACTGCCAAGTAATTACTGAACAGTAAGGCAAATTTGCTCTTGGTCAGCCAGGCAGCAGGGGGTAGGAGATTGCTCCCTGCCCCTGAGAACTGCCTGCTTCCAGGGTAGGCTCCACCTCCAGAGCCCAGGTAGCTTGTTCCTTTGCCTTGGTAGCAAAGACCTCCCAACCCCCACTCCATGATCGTAACTGCAGAGCTGAGCTAGGATTGACCCATTGCATAGGGAGAGTTTCCTGCCGAGCCTGAAGCTAACTGGGATCTGCCCCAGACCAGGACAGTTCCTGGCTAGCCCCAAGCTGCACAGGGAAATCTTCACATACAACCTGGAGCTGGCTGGGGACTGTCCCATTTCAGGCAGTTCCCAGCCAGCTCTGGGTTGCATGTGCAGACTTCCCTGTGCAGCCTGGGACTGGCTGGGAACTGATCCAGTCTGGGGCAGGTCCCAGCCTCATAGCTTTTTATGACTCCTTTGCCCTGATTAGGAGATTGAGGCATGGGACTTGGAAATTGCTGCAGGGCAGGGGCAGGTTCCAGCCCTCTACCCCAATCTGCTGGTGGAGCTGACTGGGGAGCCAGGGCTAGGAGCTTCCTGCTGCTGGGGCAGAGGAACATTGCCCCCACTGGGGCTTCACCACCAAAGCCCACCCCAGCAGCAGGCAGCTCCTGGGAGCAGGGAGCAATCTCCCAATCCCTGCCAGGAGACAGCTGTCTCCTGGCCCCTTGCTCCCTGCCAGTTCCTGGGTTAGCACCCGGGGGGCTAGAGCTCCCCCTGACTGCTGTAAGAGGGCAGAACTGGGTGGGAGAAAATCTACTCCCAAATGCACACACATGTAGACACCTGCCCAGGGTCCGTTTACTCCAGAGTAAATCTGGAGTAAATTACTCTGGAGTAAACCCATGCTGCAGCATTTGCATGTGTAGACGTGCCCTGTATGAGGCAAAGTAGATAAATCTTGATGCTCCACAACAGTGCTTCTCAAACTATCTGATGTGGCGGACCGGCAATTTTTTTTCCAGTGGGCCAGGGACTGGTGCCCAGTTCAGCCGGTGGCAGCAACTGCATGTAACAGCGCTACACAAATGCACGACTGGCTGTTTCTTTCTCTTTCCTCTCCTCGCACAACGTGACATCACCTGGAGTGTTGGAACATATGAACTGTAGCGCAATGACATATCAATGTTATGCTTCTGAAAATATATTTTTCTTTCCTGGAAACTCGCTGCGGACAGGCGAATATATATTTCTTTCTTTCCTGGCAACTTGCTGCAGACTGGCAAATATATTTCTTTCTTTCCTGGCAACTCACTGTGGACCAGAGACCAGTGGCTCATGGACCACCACCAGTCCGTGGACCACCACTTTGAGAAGCACTGCTCTACAAGAGTGTTACTCTGTGGGCGCATCTACATGTGCCCCTATGATGTAATTGTTACCATGCTGTCATTTAGTACTTCCTTTTGAAAATGCTAAATGATGGTGCAATAACAGCCCATACTGTTATTACACTGCTGTAGTGATGCGCTATACTGAGGGAGCATGTCACTACAGTGACATAGTTGTGGCATCACGGCTTGTGCCCACCAATGCTACATTGCCATAGTGCATTGCTATAGTGACATGGCGTGACTTGTAGACGTGCCCATATAGAGCAGCTGATAAACCAGCTCTTTTCCTCAGTGGTTTCATAGTTTCATAGTTTCTAGGGTCGGAAGGGACCTGAGCAGATCATCTAGTCTGACCCCCTGCCATGGCAGGAAAGAGTACTGGGGTCAAATGACCCCAGTAAGGTGGTCATCCAACCTCCTCTTAAAAACCCCCAGGGTGGGAGCCTGCACCACCTCACTTGGAAGCTGGTTCCAGACCCTAGCCACCCTGACCGTGAAGTAGTGCCTCCTGATGTCCAACTTAAACCTTCCCTCCGCCAGCTTGTGACCATTGTTCCTGGTCACTCCTTGCGGCGCTCGGGGGAACAGGGACTCCCCCAGCGCCTGCTGATCCCCCCTAACCAGTTTATAACAGGCCACAAGATCCCCCCTCAGCCTTCTCTTTTGAAGGCTGAACAGGTTCAGGTCCCGCAACCTTTCCTCATAGGACCTACCCTGCTGTCCCTTGATCATACGAGTGGCCCTCCTCTGGACCCTCTCGATGCTGTCCACATCCCTCTTAAAGTGCGGCGCCCAGAACTGGACGCAGTACTCCAGCTGCGGCCTGACCAGTGCCGCATAGAGGGGGAGGATCACCTCCTTGGACCTGCTCGAGATGCATCTGTGGATGCACGACAAGGTGCAGTTGGCCTTCCTAGCCGCCTCCCCACATTGCCGACTCATGTTCATCTTGGAGTCAATAATGACTCCCAGATCCTTTTCCACCTCCGTGCTGACAAGAGGGGAGTTCCCCAGCCTGTATGTGTGGTGCCGATTGTTCCTCCCCAGGTGCATCACCTTACACTTGTCTGTGTTAAACCCCATCCTGTTCTCCTCCGCCCATCCTTGTAACCTATCTAGGTCCAACTGTAGCCTGTTGCTCCCCTCTATTGTGCCCACATCCCCCCACATCTTAGTGTCATCAGCAAACTTGAACAGGGTGCTTTGCACCCCCTCATCCAAATCACTGATGAAGATGTTGAACAGGGCAGGCCCAAGGACCGAGCCCTGTGGGACCCCACTTCCCACGTCCTTCCAGGTCGAGAAGGACCCATCCACTACCACCCTCTGGGTGCGACTCTCTAACCAGTTGGCGACCCATTGGACTGTATGGGTGTCTACGCCACTGTCCCCCAGCTTCCTAATGAGAATGGGGTGAGAGAGTACTCCTCCTGTCTTGTGTAGAATATAATGAGTCATATTGTGCCATCAGTTTGTAATGAGTCAATGGTAATGCTTAAAAACCAAAGGCACAGAAACAATGGGCATAATTCTGCTTGACCTACTGGATAGCCAAAGTGCAGCTTGTGACCAACTCCGACTTACCTGACTCAAGAATAGGAGTCATTCTGTTTCCCTTTTAGGGTGTAGAAGGTCCCCCATTATTGAATAGATAGAGACCTGTGTGTCTCTTGAGGCCAGTCCTATTCCTATAATGGGGGCACTAGCTCGGAGAAAGTAATGGAACCACCCATACACTTCAGCTAAGTAACTCAGAGTTGGTTGCAAATTATACTTTGGTCATCCACTAGGTGAAACAGAATTCTTCCCCATGTCTTCAATATGTCTTGTTTAGTACCTCATAGATTGTTGTCATGTGGCAACCTATAATGTCATAATTTAAATATAAATCCTATCAATCATGTTGAGATGCAGTAGTTGCATTAGTAATTTGCAAACTAATTCTAATTGTATAAGTTCTACAATTTTTCTTAGTAATGCCATTTTTCTGCTAGCTTAGTTGAAATGTTCTTTTTTCCTCTAAAACCAAATCAGAATGGCACTGTAGCAAATATCACTGCTCTTTCTATTCCTGTATGTGTTTAAGATGATGATCTAAACAATTTACATTTGAACAGCTCTAATTCCTGCTGATGTGGTTCTCCTTTACAACATAGATTACAAACCTGCTGAAGCTTAATTTATGTAAATGCTTCTTTCTTTTTCCCTACAGGAAGATAGTAATAGTTTTGGAAAGGGTCACATTTTTATGATTTTGTGCAGATATGTAAAGGGATTTGAACTAGTGCAAACCATACCCTTTTTCAGTACTGCATTGAACTGGCAATGGACCAAAACTTAAAGTCACAGCTCTGCATTCACTTATTGCCCAGATAAAAGTGCCAGTGAAGTCAATAAAAGGTGTGCATGAGTACAAACTGAGTAAAGAGTTCAGGATTTGAGCTATTATTCCAATAGTGTAAGTATGACGGGGGACCAGGGCAGTCATGCTAGGCACTGACTAAAGGTGGGGGAGGGATGACAAATATCAGCTGTCACCACAGTTGCACAAATGTACCAGTGGAATAACAGCAGCCAGAATTTGCCACTGCCCTAGACACCCAGCTTTTGGTTATGACTGTGGGTTATTCATAAGGCCATATTAAAATATGAATCTGATGTGAATCATAGGAAAGTTTGCTGCAGTAGGGAGATTAGACTCAACAATATTACAGAGAAAAAATAATTGATTTATAATGAAGATGAAGTAATAAAGATGAATGTTTGCTGTTCATAGTGGAGTAGTTCAGTGGAGAGACATGACATTGGAAAGAGAGCTGGGGAATAGCTATGCATTACTGAGGTGATAAGTAATTATTGTATTGATTTATAAAATGACATCCTCTTGAAGAGTTCAAAGGAGATGAGCAAACAGTTAAATGCTAGCTGATCAGAAAGTCAATGAGCTTATTTAAACCCAGGTGGAAGTATTAAAATGTCTTGAATTATGTATGTATGTATTCACAGGGTTGACAAGTATGTCCACAACCAGCCTATTTTCTTGGTTCCATAAAAACTGAGAAGCAAAATCAAGGTACCTAAGTAATTTGGGTTAATCCACGAGGGATTTGTCTTAAAGTCAAAAGGTGCCCATCCATCCAACATTTTCAACCTGTAAGAGTTTAAGGAAAATGTTTAACAAAGGTAACTCATAAAACTTTATATATGTGACCACATATTAATGTTTTAATTACATTGCATACTGTAGCTTACACAAGAGTTATTTAAGCAAGATTCTAAATTCCATATCCTGAGGAGAAGAGTTTACAAGTTTCCTTAACTTCATTATGTGTCATAGCCTTGTTTGTACCTGTGATTGCCACTTATAAATAAAAGTGAGGATTTCTTGACTCTACACACTTAAATGTCTTTCTGAAGCAATCAGCTTATCTTTCTGCCACATTTAAAACCTTCTTTTTAAAGCTGGTTTCTTTTCCCTTTTACTCAGTTGGTATGTTTGTGTGTATGAACTGATTTGATCAAGAATTATGAAGCCTAAGCAAAACTAGCAGAGAATACACATTTCTGAATTGAAGGGCTAATTTGTTAGTTTCAAGGGAGGAGCAGGTACTCTAATATAAATAGCAATCCTATTTTATACAACTTTTCCTCCTTTCCACCAGACAGTATACCATTTGAAATACTGTTTATGTTCAGTCATATTAATAAAGAAAATCTTACCTGAATGCTGCAAAACAAATGCTAAGGACCACATAATACACAGTGTAGAAAACTATCGTGCATATCAACAGATTCAGCAAAACAGCCTGTAAAGGATAAATTAAATTAAACCTATTGCCTTATCTGCATTGGTCAGAAAGGTCCTATACAAACATACTAAAATTACAGAATAAAAATTGATCATAGTTACAATATTATCATTTATGTTTAAAGTAGAATACTTGGACAGGATTTTTGTAATCACCTTGCATAAAGGCCCTGCTATGAGATAAAATGTTTGTTGAAGGGGGCTTGAAACAAACCGACTCCAAACATTTCTGTGCTTTCCCCTTCATTTTTAATATAAACTATATATTGTAGAATACTTCCTTTTTAGTTGTATGCCTTCAGACCAGCTATTCATAGAATCATAGAAAAATAAGGCTCCATTGGTCACATAGTCCAACTCCTTGCTCAGGGCGAAATCATCACTGTTTAAATAATATTGTTCAAGTGTTTGCCTAACCTGCTCCTAAAACTGTCCAAAGATGGAGGCCCCAGACAGAGCACCTCTAGGTAATCTGTTCCAATACTCCACCAGCTTCATATTGGGAGAGTTATTTCTAGGACAGAACCTAAGTTTCTCTTGTTGCAGTTTAAGAGCATTGCTTCTTGTCCTGTCCCTTGCAGACACAGAAAATAGTTTATCACCATCCCCTTTACAACTATCATCAGGTATTTAAATCTGTTATCAAATGCTGCCCTGCCCTGCCTCTATAGTAGGGAAGAAAGCAGAAGCTGGAGGAGGGAGAGGGAATCCAGAGATTCCAGCAGCAGCAGCAGTAGAGCAATGGGAGCCTGGGGGCCCCAAGTTAGCCTTTCACAATCTGCATGCACCCTCAGTCTGCCAGTTGGACAGCTCTGGCCTATGTTCTTATTTCTGTTGAATTCTCATGTGAAATTCACTTTCATTTGAATTCAGTCTCTTAGAAGGCAGAAAGCAGAGCAGGGTGGCACTTAGAAACAAACTTGTTTGGAAAAGCATAAGTTAGCACATTGCTAGCTATATCTCTCCATTCCCTTCAGAGGGAATTCACTCCTGACAGCCCTTACCCTGTCGTTGAGCTAGGAAATGTTGAATATGGACCTCATTCCTCTGTAGACATCTTTTTATAAACTCTACTAGATAGGTCTAGGAGTTTCTGACAAATTCCAAATGGTTTCAGATGTTTGGGAGCTTTTCAGCTGTACCCTGTTCTCTGGTCTCAGCTTGGGCAGTATTTTTGTTCTTTGCTGAAAACTGAAATTTTACTTTTGCCAAATTTTATTTGGCATTTATTTCAGTAAGTAGCTTTAAGATAAATCAGAATGGGATACAGGTGTCCTTAAGCTTCTTTCCATCTCAAGTTTTGCTGGACATATTCCAATAGTATTATAGATGAGTGCACTATTTTTTTGCAGAAGTCTTTTTAAAACCCTGCACTGTTCTCCTCTTTTCCATTGGTAACTCTAGGAATGTTTCAGGAATACATTGTGGTGCATTATTGAATAAGAAAGCTTTGCAAACTCTTTCTTACCAATATGACTTAAGTTTCTTATCAGCACATACTGAGGAGTGAAGCAGAGGCAAGTCATTATCCAGAGAAGCAATTGAATGTATTCAAATGCACGGTAATGTAAATGTGTGGTTATGTATGTGTGTGCCCTTTCCAGAAAAACAGAGCTGTTGCCTTCTGCTGCCAAGGTCTTTCCGGTAGTTTTGTAGAGATGAATGATTCTGATGACTATTTATTTTTATTTATTTATGTATTTATTTTGGGGGGGGAGTTAACTTATTGCTTTCCTGCAAGGTTTCTACAGTCTGAATTGGCTTGCTTGGACCAAGGCACCCAGCAGATTATTATCTTCACATACTCCCTCATGAATTTTGGAGAGCATCTTTTATAGAAAGCCTGTAGGAATCAAAATGAATCAAATTTTGAGAGCAGATCACTGGTCATGTGAACATCATTTTAGCCCTGCCAGTATCATAGTAGCTCTATTGGAAATCCTGTGGCAGAGCTGACAATTTTTCTGGCAAGTCTCAGCCGATAGTTTTTCAGTACTTATCTGCTAAGTCAACTGGCAGATTTTGGGCTTGCTGCCAAGGTAAGTTCATAGTAAGCTTTAACATCTTTCTCTAAAGCAACTTTTTTTTCTCCCTTTGATAACTGCTTCATCAAGGCTCTGGATAGTACTGCCGTAAGTGCTCTCCTTGGTAGGTGTTCAGTAATGGAGGTAAGTCTCATCAGTTGTAGTCAGAATCCATGGAATCCTGCATGGAAGACCAGGCTTTGGTTTTTAACCCAACAGTGCCATTATGGACTTGTGGTCTGTTTCTAATTAAAATCCAGGCTACATAAATATGCAGTGAGCCATTCCCAAGCCCAACTGACCACTGCAATTTCCTGTTCCATTTGTATGAGTGGCCGATGGTGTCTGTGAGGCTTCTTGATGATAATGCAACAGGTCACAGGTCTCCTTCTGGCTGTTTTAATGTGAACCAGGTCCTAGAACATATGAAGATGCAGCCATGGCTAACATTGCTAGATAGTTTACTGGGAGTTGTGCCAAAACATGTGGAGATGCCATTAGATCTTTATTTTTTAATGTGTTTTGTTGTGGGCTTCCCCTGATTCAAAGGTTTTGGCCATTAAGAAGCTCTCTTAAGAGTTTTGTTAGATGAGCTAAAATGTTCTGTCATACTCAAGAGCCTTCTTACAGAAGAAACATCTCAGAGACTGAGCCAAGCTGAATTCCCCATCTGCTAATTATGTGTCCTATCAACTTTATCTTCTATCCAGATTCATGTTTCCCATTCAGAGTGAGGCCAATTTACTGAAAGCATGTGAAATAAGGTCATTCATGTTTATCTTTATTGCTGCTGTTAGATAATATAGTATCTGTATGGTAAAGGACAGAAGGTAGCCAGGTCACAATGTGAAACATTATGTTTTGATAATGTTCTGCTGCTAAGGATATGTTGAATGGAAGCCGAGTGAAACTATAACTTCCAAATGGGTTGCTGAACAAAGTTAATGATGCAGATTCTTTAGTCAGGAAGATTTGCCAAAATCATGCTGTAGCAGCTAACTCTGACAATACTTTGATTTCTTATAATTAAGCCAATGTCTAGTTATCCACAAAAAACAGACATCTTTTTTGCTCATATTATATTAAATTGTGTAAGGTACACATACATAATAATTTTTCCATGGAGCTTTGGTACCAGGGTTGTCTTGTATACCAACCTATAGGCTCTTTTATCTGAAGAAATAGACCCTGTATCTTCTACTCTTTTTAAATCTTATTTTCTTTTTACTTAAATTATATTCTCTTTATTTTCTCAAGTGATCTCTAAGGATATGGGGATGGCTCCGTTATCAAAAGGGAGTTTTTGATAATGAAACAGGTAGTTATCTGTGTTAGTTTGAAGTCAGGCAGAAGTCTATAAGATTTGCACCTTATAGACTAACTCAATCTGAGATATACATAGTTAGAGCTGATGAAATCAGTTAGAGCTGTGCTGATTTCATCAGGTGCTGTGCAAGGACATGTATAGAAAAGTGTATAAAATGGCAGTAGTAACTTGAATGCAAAAGGCAGGAAGGGAAGGAGGGGAAAGGGGAAGCGGGGCAAAGCTGGGAGAGGCAAGCAAGCAAGCAATAAGTCCCTAGGAAAAAAGGGGGCGCAAAAACGAATCCAGGTAATGGGATAAGAATCCATAGTCCCTGTTTAATCACACTTCACCCAATCCACTGTGGATGATTTCTTGTTCCTCAATTTACTGTTCAAATTGTTTTTTAAAGTTTTTCTGCCTAAGAACAGCTACTCTGAGATCAATCCAAGTTGGTTAAAGTATCCTGCCACAGACCTTTGTTTCTTTCTGGAGCTTCTGACAGATTGGTGTTACTCTATTCTGGTGTTCAATTTCTTTAAGAAATATGTGGTGTCTTTCAAGTAGCTAACAGCTCCAGTGGCACACAACAGAGTCAACATACCCAGAAACTCCCTTTGTCGTGGTGCTAACACCAGAGATGATGGGGGATCCTGGGTTGCCAGGTCTGTGGATCTTGGATAATAAGTAAAAGTTGTCAGGCCTTGGCTCCCAGGAGGTAGAAGCAGTAATCCTATCCTGTGTTTGCTAAAGTAGATCCTTAATAGTCTATCTAGTTCATTTTGGCATTGCTCTGTGGGGTCCTCAGTCAGAAGTTTGTAAAACTCTCTGTTGTAAAGTTGTCTCTTGACTTCCTGTATGTATGATGTTTTGTACATGATAACAGTGGCATCCCCTTATCAGCCCGTTGCATGATAATATCCAGGTTGTTTTTACAGCTGAGTATGACTATTTGTTCTGCAGGATTGAGGTTGTAACATAAATGGTGTTGTTTTTTGGCATTCTCAGGCTGCGTC